CCTATTGCTTGAAAGTTTACATTAATGTTAGTACAAAGTTTTTGGAGTTATTTGGTAGTTTTTGAAGTTGTTTGGTATGATTTCTTTGGTTGTAATATAATCATGAATTTTCAGATTTCTGCTCCCTACTGTCTTAATTTTGTTAAACACATAATAAATTATAAATAGCAAAAGCTTATTGTGATTTTGTTTAGTTAAAAAAGTTTATAACTTCAAATATAAATCAAGGCAAATTTCACTCACAAATTTTCACATGTTATTCAAGTAAATGCAGCTATTACTAGTGTATATGCTAAATTTTCAACTCTTCTAGTCTTTATCATTTACTGTATTTTACTTTAAAATTTTCATTATAAAATAAAATTAAATAACACCCTTAAACTTAGTTATGTCATAGAAATGATCTGTCTATAGCGTTATTGTAAGTTCTAAATAATTATTGCAAACAAAAATTTTATGTGCGCAATGTTTGTGATGTAAATTCATAAAATAGATCAGCTGATCAACAATTATATCATTCAGATCAAAAATTGAAAAAGCAAATATTGCTCTATCCAATGCACATACAATCGTAGAGAGCAGAATAGATTTTGTAATAAAAATAATTGAAAAATAATTATTTTTGATAAACTAAAATTTCAAGCTCAACTTAACTAAACTTTAAGATAGCTTGTAAGAAAATGAAAAAACTTTGATAAAGGAAACGAAACTCAAATTTTCTTTCAGTCTTCTACTATTGAAATACAATTTACAGGGTCTCCAGAAGGTGCAATTCTTCGAATCTCTTCAATCGGTTTTAATAAACGTATGATTTTATCATCATCCTGTCTTTGATAAAGCATTTCGCCTTCAAAGTCAACCAGTTTGTATTTACGAGCTCGAATTAACATTCCGACCAGCTGTAATAGCATTAATTATTTCTATACGATAAATATAATATTTATTAAAAATGATGAAATACAGAAGAATTTTTTGTTATCTCCAAATTACTGTAAGGTTCATTTTACCGGAAGTGCCGGATATTTTCAATTACTTTAACTGTGCTCAATGCTTATATTGCAAGTGAAACTTAACATTATCATGTTGACTAAATATTTCAACAAATTTCTACCAGATATACTGAGAAGATTTAGCGAAAAAGAAGTTTTTAAATTTGGTTCACTATGTAATCTTCTACGTAATAAATGTCAGTCTACAGATGAGGTCAAGAATGCATGGATAAAACAAGAAGTTAATCAGGTTTATAAAAATTTGGTACTAATGTAGTAATCATTTACTGGCAATTTTAATCCTAATTTTCACATGTTTAATGCTAAGGTACCACTATAGTAGTAAAAACGTTAGCCAGTAGTTATTTTCAATATTAAACAATGCCTTATCAGAGTGATAATTATTTTTATCAAATACCAAATACACTTACTTTGTCAGAGTAATTAGCATATATATGAAAAAGAGGTCCAAATTTGATATATCTATTAGGAGCTTCGCCACCTTCTCCATAATCATTTATTATTTCGCATAGAAATAAAACTTCACGCATGACATGAACTCCTAGATAATTTGCCAAATTTCAATGAAAATTATTATTTATTATTATTTTATAAAATTTACTTTTTCAAATCTCTGAACTGTAAGCTCGTTAAATATAAAATATATTTAATGCTGTGCAGTATTAATTTTCCATTTTTTTTCACCTATCAAAACCAACTTTGGTTCTGCGATAGCCACTTATACTTGTATGTGATAGCACTCATATGCATTGCTTGGGTCACTTTAGGTATTTTGTATTAGATTAATGATCAAATATTCACAGCAAACCTGCTTTAATTCCTCTAGCTTCAGTTTTTGATCCACGTGTTGGTCTGCCATAATCCAGTGCATTTGTACTATATTTAGGTGTACGATATGTAGACGAAAATGGATTTCTGCAAGAAAACAAAAATTTCTAATCTCTTTTTATGTATAGTTCATATTACCCAAGTTTAAGTTTGAGGTAATCGACGATGGTAGCCTGTCTTTGATCTTGGAATAAACACACTAATTTTTCGTGATTTCTAGTTTCTATTCTTTTCTCTGCTATACTAATATCTGTTATGATGATGTCGTGATCGACTAAAGAAATCGGTGGTAGAAATACCAGTGCAATTATTGACTGTCGATACCATTACGTTTGCAACAACAGACGTAATGGTATCGAATGTCAACAACGGCAGAGTGGTGGAAATGGTAGCAGTAGGAGAGAACATTCCAGCATTCGAATACGTCAGTTATTTAATGGCTGATGACGAGTTTTTGAGGAATTTTCCACATCACTGGCGACTTCCAAGAAGCAAAAAGAAGTAACAGCCTATAACTACAACTCCTTGTTGCAGTACTTCTGAGGAACGAATACGAAACAGGAGAAGAAAATAAAGAATGACACGCATGGCATGAATAAAGCGGAAAAAGAACTGTTACAAAAACAGTTCGGAACCTAAGAGAAGAATGCTGCGTTGTTTTGTAATCTGAGAAGAAAATGGAGAATGAAGGAAAATGCATCTAGAATCATAATAGAAAACAGTGGGGAACAGATGAGGCTCTGAAAAGCTCCGTTAAAGATGTAAGTGCTCTCTGCCAGTGTATCGGGAGCTAGGAACCAGCAGGATGATTACGCTTGAAGTTATCATTTGTAGAACGGGATTCCGCAAAGCAGCTGGGCAGGTTCTTAACCATTTCCAGAGGATGCCGAGAGAGGCATAGCCCTTGTGTCGTTCCTTTGCATTAGGAGAAATTCGTATGAGCGATTAGCCTTCAAGAACTGAAGAAATAAGCGAATGATACAATTACCAGTATTGCAGGACATCAGTGCTCGCATAAGCAATTCTTAGAGGAAACAATGAAGCATGTCGAGATACTTGAAACCTGCTTCGAGGAAAATAAGCTACATGAGACTTAGCTTTATCTAGACATAAGACAGAAGTACTGATCTAAGAAGCCAAGGATGTGGGATAGACCAGACAAAGTGGGAGCAGAAAATAATTTCAGAGAATGTTGATGCCTTATACTTGCAGTGGTAAACCACACAGAGCAGTAAACCACTAAATCAATGACTGATCTTGCAAGGCAGTTCCAGGTGGCACAGCAATGCTATGAAGATGTGACGACGATACGGGAGAAGCCATCGAATAAAAGGCAACACAGAAAAGGAGATAAGACTGAATAATTTCCACAAAACCCTCATAGAGCGGTATTTTGCCGGTGAAACACTTGAAGATAAAAATCCGAGGGACACCAAGAAGTATATGGAGGCTTCTCCATGAGGAGCAAGAATCTCATACTTGCTCTCAACCGTGACTATCATTAGGCCCCAATTACGCTGACAGAGCGTATTAGAGTTGATGAAAGTAAAATAAAAAGTCATGAGTCCCGATGTGCACTCAAAGTCCAAAACACGAGATTTGACCTGTTCAGAAAGCGGTTTTATAAAAAACTAACTAAAAAGTAGCCTGTTAGCCACAATGCAAGCACAAAAGAAATCAGAAAGTTCATTTTCCAATCTTTTTAAATTTGAATTAAATTATTCAAATGTATTTCTCTTTTGTTACGTTTTTGGCATTGATAACGTTGATGAAAGAATACAGCTCGGAGTGTTATAGTTGTATAGAAATTGAGTTCGGAAACAGTGGAACTTATCATTTAAAATGCATAATTTTTGCCTTAAAATTACTTGTTTAATTTTTCTTCATTTTCATTTGCAATGTTGTTGAACATTTTAATAGTATCACGAGCACCACCTTTATAATGGATCATCCGCAAATCCCACTTACGTGTATTTTGATTTGAACTAAAAAATCAAAAATAATTATTTCTTGCTTCATCACGAAAAATTTGAAAATTTTACAGTCATTTAAATTGAGAGAAACAAATTTTTTGTAAACTTATATTTCAACATATTCATTTTCACATTTGAGAAACTTTATCACAATTTTAAAAAATTTCTTTATCAAATTTATTTACATCTTTTAAGTTTTTTTTTCATATCATAATAGTGATATGATTTAAGCTAGAATTAAAAATTCGAAATCTCAATAATAATAATAAATAAAACTTTATAATTTGCAATCGATGTACTGTACATCAAATAAATTAGGATTACTCCTTGAATTTGCTTGAATTGCTGCCGGTATGAATTGCCATCTTTTCACTGGTAATATCATCATGAGATGAGCCAAGTTCATTTCCATTGCTGCATGCAAGTATCAATAATTATTATTTTCTACATGTAATTCTGATAATTTTCATGAATCCTTACAAATAAATCACTTACGAAATTTTTATTAAATAACTGGCAAAATTTTATTTCTTTTGAACTTTGGCATACAAATTTTTTAAATACTTTCAGAAGTATGACAATAAAGCATTGGTAAATTGCTGAAAAATTCCTTAATTAATTAAGCATTTTCAATAAATAAAAATATTTAAAAAATTATCAGAATTAGAGTGTTAAAAAAGGAAAGTAAGATTAGAAAATAGTAGAATAGGGTTAATCTTTGGCAAAGATATGATTATATCATTGTTTTTGTAGTTTAAATTAATCTTTTACAAAAAAACTCAATGAAAACAATAGTATAATACTTAATGAAATAATCAAAATTTGTCATTTGTGAAGGCGAATTGCAAAGGTATGATGTGATATGATATGATTATGATATGATATGATATGATATGATATGATATGATATGATATGATATGTATGATATGATATGATATGATAGCAATGTTATCCAAACTTTTCAGCGTTAAATTTATTAGTATATAAATGCTTGTATTGTCACTGGCAGAATTTAAAAGTTCCAGCATTGATTTTTTGCTGCATTAAAGACAAGACATTCTTGCAGTAAATTACAAGCTTAGAAAATTTTCATTCGCGATTTGGATAAAAGTCACCTTATCAATTATGCATTATCGATTTTGCTATTTTTTATCGAAAAATATAGCATTTGAACATTTTCAACCATCCGATGAATTTTTTTTGCAATCAAAAGTACTAATCTCAGATAAAAAGAATTGCTAAGAAAAAGCATGGCTAGATGATTAATTTCGATCTGGAACTTCAGAACTTTTCCCTCATTTCAGCTTATTGACAATCGCTATTTATTTTCTTTATCTCAGAGGATGCAAAGAACGTAGAAAATTTGTTTTTGTTTTTATGTATTTAGATAAACTTTTTATGTTACATTTTGGCAATCAATACTTTATCGGATTCCATGAATTTTTTAATGCACATAATATTTACGATGAAATCAATCAAAAAATAAATAATGTTTAAAGAAATAGAATATACATGAATAATGGTAATGGGAGGCAAACTCACTTTGCTTATTCTATACCTTTGTAAGTAGTGAAATATCGTTGATTAAATAATTGAAGTCAACTACAATTTTAGACATCAAATTTTATTTAGAAATCAATTTATTATTATTATTGTTATTATCACTAGTAATAGTAATAGTAATAGTAATAATTGATATTGTTTTGCTTACATATACGGTCTCTTTTCTTGATGTCGAACTCTATTTGTAATGAGTGAGAATTATTTCGAATACTTAATTTTAAACAAATGGCCTAATATCTTTTTTGAACTAAACACTTCGAAATTTGTTGCAAAGATAAAACAATATCAAAAGCACATTAATATTTTTAACTAAGACGATTAAACTTATCTCTCACAACAACAACTTATTAAAAGCATTCTGTTGCACAAATAATATTTCAATAATATAACAAAGGACTGACAAAAAAAATTAGCATCAAAGTAAATACCACTTATGCAAATATGTGATATTGGATTTTTAAAAAAGTAAAATGTATATTTCACACAATATAGAAGAATACTTTTACGTGAATTAAGTAATACCTTAAACAAACTAACCCAGTAAATTTGCCACTACTGAAGTAATGTCTAGTACCATGAAATTTGTCATCGTTAATCTGATCCTTTGCATCTATCTGCGCCATTAAGTTATGATTCAATTAAAGTTAGACTACAATTCCAACTAACCCAAACTTTTTGATCAAGCGAAGTATTCCAGAGAACACACCTATGAAGTATTTACTTTTCTTTTTTTAACTACTACTTAAGCAACGAAACTTTCAGAAAACAGCTGTCGACATTTCATCTCTGTTATACATTTCATTTTTGATCTTTCTGCACTTTGAAACTTTGTCCATTTGCTCTAAATAAAAATACTTTCTACTCCAAATAATTATTTTCGAAAAAAATATTTATTCGTTTATCCGTTAAAAAATTTCAAGTCACATACTCTTACATAAGGATAGCTAATAAACATAAATTTAGAACAAACATAAAATTGCAATACAGAAGTAAATGGCAACAAAACTTTCAGTCATCACATTGGTTTTTCAGAAGATTTCTTAGACGTAAACAGAATGAACAATAAATAATTATACTAATCAATGCCATCGCAATCCATCAAAACAATAAAAAAGGAAAAGATGAAAACACGTCAAAGTTTCAATTAGAATTGTGAATACATACATACTTACAACTACTTAACGGTTCGAAATTCCTGTTGAATAAACGCCACGAATACTCAGGCAACTGAAAACAATGCATTGATACCCAAAATGGAATTTGAAACAATAATTAAATTGAAATACAAAAATACAGTTCTATCAAAAATGCGTTGTGACCTGACCAGCAATAAAGATGATAGTGCATATAAGACATACAAAGTGAATAGGTAGTAGTATATGATTTAAAATATAGAATAATAGCTAATCGTTTTGACAGTGTATTTACCATATGAAATTAATCAGTGTGAGTTATTTTGAATTTAGTTATTTTTTATGTTAAAAAAGTTAAAAATTAGACCTGCTTAAATGCCAGTGAAAATTTAAAATATAAACTACACTCACTGATTGCTATTTATTCTCCGTACTTCATAAAATTCCTTGAGATTTTTCGGACAGAGTGATTCCTTGACATCCTTCAAGAACGATTATGTGGAAACTACGTATTTTGTGATGCAAAATATGATTTATTCGTTTGATTTCAAAGATGAGATATTAGAGTAAAAGGGAAAGAAAATTAACTTATAGTAAATGAATAATACATGAAATCATGTCGTTACTTTTATTACAATTTACTGCCTATGGCTTATCAGACCGAAGAAATAGCCTACAGACTACAGTCCATCATCATTAATATAGACATCGCCTTTATGCAAACATTTGATATTATCTAATCTCGTTAAATGATACATTAATCAAGTAATCAAACAATTGCTGACTAATAATTGAAAAACATTGATAACTCTTTATTTCCGAGGATTTATTGTTTTCTAAATCATGTCTTGCGCACCATTTCTCTACAGTCAAGCAATCCTTAAATCCTTAATGTCTGTTACACTGAAGACGAATAAACTTAAATAATTGCACGACGAAAAAATTCTCGCAGAAAGTTGTAACTTCTATCATTTAAATACATCCTCCAACTTTTTTCTCTCAAGTACATCATTTCATCCATCAAATGTGCGTAAATCGAATTGTAAAAAAATTCATTGAAATAGTTTGATGAATCTGTAATGCTCAGAAACGCAATCTTCGCAGCTCTCATTTTCATCAGTGCGTAAAAACAGTAATCTGAAATTGATGTTAACAACTGAGATAAACAGGAAAAAGCCAATGTAATTGAGCAGTTTTTCATTTTTTCACGTTTACTTGGACAAATTGCCGTATTTTCAAAAAATGCGTGCGAAAATAATTCAGCATCATCATATAAATGCAAATATGGTCAGATAAAACTTGTGAAACATTTCAAGCAAACACCATGGTGGATTCTTCGTTACATGGGCAAAAACTTGCATATTTGACCAAGTAAGCAATCTGTTGTTATGTTTCGGAAATTCCACCTACTAAAGGGCGCAAATTGCATTCCGTAATAATTAACTATTATCAATATTTGAATTCCTAAGAAGTGCAGTTTTCAGTTTCGCTATAGAAGTGCTTCATGCAATAATGAATAGTAATATGAAGATGGTACTTGCGTAAGAATAAGCTTTTTTTACTTTGCAGTTTGAAATATTCATTTCAAAGTTTGCAAAAAATTTAGTTGCAAAGTATTGAAGGCATTAAAATATTGCCTCATTTCCGTTCCATTTCTGAGTATTTCGTTTTCTAAGCCATTCTGTCGTTGCTAAAAATCAAACATGACAAGTTTCATACGTTTGTACAAAATTAAGTATCAATTATCCTGCACTTACGCTACTATATGAAAATAAGAAAATATTACAACTACTAAATCATAATTTTTAGCATGTACAAATGATTTGCAAGCATCAATGAACCAAAAACCCACCGATTCTCGTTTCTATTCCCATCGATGCTTGATAGTTTTTTTCGCTCAAGTGATGGCTGTGTTCTCGTTTGAAGGTTTTGATTTTGAAAATATGTCTTTCTGATGTGATCAACACTCGCAACATGGCTTTACAACGTGGTGAGCACCACCATATTTTGCCTCTTCCTTAAATCATTCATTAATATTTTTGCATTACTGAAATATTATTCTAAGTGAATATTTCAACTAATGTTTGGAAGCAGCTTCTTTTCGACAAAACTTTTTCTTTGCATCTAAAAAAGCATTTATATTTTGCAAACAATTCAAAGAAATTAAAATGAATATATTCTGAAAAATAACTTTTATTATGCTCTTTACTGCCAAATGTACATCGATATATGATGCTAAAATACGCAACAACTTGACCGACATTGTTGCTCCCCTCTCTATAATCGTATCTCGCTATACGGTAAGGTGCAAAGTTAACAATTTTGTACGCCTCAAAAAAAGTTTCGAACTCGTCGAAGCTGCAAATAAAATTTACAATTGATTATTAACACAAATGGTAATGATAATTTAAACTTACAAAATATTTTCTGCCATTTACTGCAAATACGAAATTCTTCAAGTCTGTAGAAGTTCTACCTACAAAGGAAGAAGTATTATTATTAACCTAGAAAATTTGGCATTGCAACGAATTCGTTCGGAAGCTTTGTGAAGCACACTTATTTCTTCCGCATTAAAATTGGAATATGTTTGATTCCTCAAGTTGTCTATATCCATAAATTTTGAATTTTCAACCGTAAGCACAGTATCACTTGACAAGTCGCCCGCTTCAGCATTCTTTTCTGCTCGCTGTTCCCTATCCTTCAATGATGATGATTAAAATATGGCTTTTTATTTTGGTATATTATTTTACTTAATTAAAAACCCTATGCATTATTTGCAACAAAATTTAATCTTTTCATAATTATTCATTTATTTACACTCTGATTTTTGCTAAAGACTAGATGCAACATACAAATTTTTCCAAAAATAATCTATAGATTAATTCTAATTCGTAATAGTCCTTCATGTGCTTCAGTAGATCAAGAGGCTGCGGATTCACAATCCAAGAACTGTAATAAAATAAAAACTGGTCAACAAATATATTCAATTACGTAAGAGAGTGCAAATTTTGACGCTAGCAAGCAGTTTTTTATACGCTATTTGAAATTATGTTTTTTCCAGTTATCACACAAATCTGATTAAAATAAAAGTAGTAAA